TTCCAGTACTAAATTTCTATAAAAGAGACTCAGAAATTGTTTCCTCTGTTTTTTAATGAATCTCTTAAGGATTTAAAATATAAGTAATAATTACTCATATAATTGTTTATTCTATTATTTTTATTGCTTTTGTAAGAAACCTCGTTAGACGTAAGAAATCTTCGATACATATCTTTTAGTGTATATTTAGTTTTAGGGAGTGATTAAGTTATTTGAAGAACTGCAGGCGAGCGTTAATAAAAGTTCTGTGACTTATTTAAAATTTTAGCAGGAGTTCATAACGTTGAATTGAAAAGTTTCTAAGGAGAAATCGAATCTAAATTATCGAAGAAAATTGGTTCTCATAGTATTTTTCAATAATTATTTTTAGACAACTTTTTCTAACACCAATTTTTTAAATAAAGTATTTTTATTGTAAATAAGATAATTTATGTACATATTTCAGAAATCGGCTAATGTGGATTGTTTAACAATTTTACTTTTGTAAAGTGGAATATAATCCAAAGCGGAGTTAAAAATTATGATGGCATCAAATGGCTCTACAGAGTGATTATATTAAAAATCACTTTTCGATCAATCGTGATTCATTTTAACGTCATTTTCACGTTATCGCGACATGTTCTGCTTAAAATAGTCTTTTCAATATGTTACGCATTTAATCGATAAATTGTTTTTCCGATCTGTTTATATACATCTTATATTTTGCGTAACCATTTGATATCGATTTAAAGCGTCGGACTGTGGAGGACGAGGTTACTATTGATCTGCAAAACTCGGCTTGCGTAACGAACTTGTGTTTGTCCGATTAAAATAAGCTTCGTGTGTTAAATGAAATATATATATGTATATAACTATTTGTTCCAGAGAGGGCCAATCGATTCGGGACAATAAACAGAATTTATTGTTTGATTCGCATGTGAAAATTTAATTGAGAGACGCCTTTTAATTAATTACAGGCGTAACATAACAGCGACATATCATACATTCCTCCGAATTATGATTTAATTAAATCGCGTTAATTATTATAAACAGATTGATTTACATGAGAAGAAAGAAATGCGGCAAGTGGCGATCGGTGTTGGTACGAATCTGTGATCCGAGAAAATCGTGTTGTTTTTTCTAAATAAAGCGATTATTACATACATAGGAAAGAGAGATGTCGTGTTTTTAATAAACGATTACGAAATCGCCTCAGTCGACAAGTTTACAAAACGAAAGGTGATCAGTTTGTAAGGGTCTGATGGGAGTCTCATCTCACTATATAATTGATGCGGTAATCACCAGGTCTATTCAAGAGAGCCATAATCGAGTTGCGGGGGCAACAATAGGATTGTGCAGTATTATTTCACCACGATTCCGCATAATCTCGGAGCAAAAGTAACAGGGCGGGACTAAATTCGCGGAGGAAACAGGGTGGTTGGGAAAATGTTCGCAGCGCGCAAGAATATCGGATCGCTATTTTCACGACAATGATGGAACGAGTGTTAAGTGCAAACTGTCGCAATTGTTGCTCGCCAGCAATTACGCGCAAGCCGCATTTACCTGCATTACCGTTTCCTTTCAGCAGTACTGCCTCGTGAATTTCTCTTCATTTTTTTTAACTTTATATTACTCATTGGTTTTTTTTTTAACGTAATTTACTCGCTCAGAATTTTGTAACACTCTAATATTTTTCATTGTTCTCTTTGATGATTTATAATTAAATAAAGATCGATAATATTCTATATTTTTAGATAAAAATTAATGCAACTTTTTTTTCAATTGTGAAATAATTTGCGCTAAATATAATAACGTACGTAAATGGTATTTATATACATGTTAAATTCATAATGTCATATTATAGGCAATCTGAATTATTTTTAATTATTTTTATAGATCGTCGCTGCTCTTAGTCTACATGTTAATTTAACTAAAATAATGGAGTTAAATAGTTTAACTCAAGAAAATATATTAAATTTGACTCAAATTTAGTTTATTATTTACTAAGTGCATACGTTAATATGAACGTTGTTCACTTTGAAACTAACTGCAGAAATAGATAATTAATTTTACATTTTGACACACATAAAAGCTAAAGATAAACAAAATG